GATATGGCATGATGTGCCTTATTCCATGTCTTAGGCTTCATAGTTTATTTTTTTTATAAGAATTTCAGGCCTCGTTAAAAACCTCCTTCTTGATTAATGGAGCTTATATAAACTCCTTAATCAGCGGAAGGAGGAAAAGAGTGCCTTAGGATTTTATTGAACCATAAAATTACATAAGATACAACCATCATACACCCACCAACCAAATAAACTCGAAACAACCATAAAACATCCAAAATATAAATATAGAATCAGCCAATTCCTTCTTTAGCTAAGGCATTAGCCTCTAAATTGGCTGTCCTATTAACCCATCTAACAACACCTTCTAAAACATTAAGCCTATGAACAATATCTTTAATCAAAAAAGCATAAACATCAGGAACTAGATCCACTTCCTTAATCCAGTCTACCGCAACTTTGCTGTCGCTTTCATTAAATTCATAGTTTATGCCTTTCATTAAATTCATCAATCCTATATTCCCTTAATGTTTGATTTCTATATATATTGTCCTTCATCAGGGAAACAATGTCATCAAGTAACTATGCATTTGCATACTTCAGTATCAACTGTTACCTTCTTTTCGGTGGAATAGGGAGTTTCATAGGATGGTGTCCCTGGCCTATGTTATTGTGGTATAATGGTTCTGTTGTAAGTAATTACATTGCACTTTTTTGCAGGGAGGATTCTGTTAATGTTGGGGAACTTGCAGTTTGAACTCCGAAACTCGTGGATAACTATGTGAGTATTAATCTTATTCAAAAATTGAACAGAAAAAACTTTTCCTAGAAATTTGTTATATGTTGTGTATTCCAGTAATCCTTTTGTTTAGCCTTCTTGATGCTCTTTGTGCTTCAGCGCTCACATATATTGCTGACAATTACAAATCCATCCGAGTCACTTCTCAATGAACTTAGGACTGTTGAGGTTTGTTTGCTTGAATCTCTCTATTGTTTAGTTAAGAAAATTTTCAACCTCATTTCTTACTTGCCAATGTAGTTCTTTTACCTTCGTTAATATTAGGTTAAAACTATCATGCCTAGTGGCCTTTATCTTGTTTGCTGGTGCAGGATATGAAGCGGCAGTGTGATGAAAAAAGGTGCATCATTTTTTCACTGCATGCTTATTTTGATTAGGTTACGCAAGTCTTTTTCTGAATCTGGTTCATGATCTTCAGAAATGTCTATGAATACTTGGTGGCACAACAAAGGGAAAAAGGAAGGTCTAAAAGTGGAAAAGGTGAAACTTTCACTTTGCAGCAGTTGCAAACAGGTCGTGATGAATATGATGAAGTGGCTACTCTTTGTGTTTTCCGGTTGAAATCTTTGAAGCAAGGTCAATCCAGAAGTCTTGTAACACAAGCTGCTCGTCACCATGCAGTTCAGGTTTCTGAATTTATTTCCAGAAGTTTCACACGTCTGTGGTTTCTGCCTGATCATAATTCAATGCTGATAACGTCCTCCCCTCTTTTCATTTCTGCTTCTCTTGCGAGTGCAGTTGAATTTCTTTAAGAAAGGGCTTAAATCACTTGAGGCAGTTGAACCTCATGTTAGGCAAGTTACAGAACAGCAACACATTGATTACCAGTTCTGCGGTATTGAAGATGATGGTGGGGAAGATGGCGAGATTGCCTATGATCCGAACAAAGAGGTGGAATTAAGTTTTGACTATAGAGCAAATGAGAACGGGTCGGTGTTACTTCCACATCAAGGAATTCAATGGAGGTCTGATTCTTATGCTATTGTAAATTTATTAAATCATTTTTGAAGTTGTTATGGTGGAAAGCAAGAGTTGCACCCTTAAACATAAAGGCTTGGACAAATGAGGATCAAAACTAGTCATATTTTACTTTGTCCTTCTTATCCCCTATTTTAGGAGGGTGATAATGCCTATGGTTTTAAGCAAGAGTTGCACCCTTAAACATAAAGGCTAGGAAAAATGAGGTCCAGAACTTGTCATATTTCGCTGTGGCCTTCTTATCCCCTATTCCCCCCCCCCACAAACAAACATACACACACTCCCATCTTGAACTATTAGTAGGATTGGTTTCTTCAGCCAGAATTCCATGCAAATCATAGTTTATTTTGGCCAGTTTAGTGGTTCAAGTCATTCTAGTTCTAGAGGAGGGGGATGATGCCATTATTGTTTGTGATATTATGCAATGATCTTTTCTCATAATCCATTATGGGTTGACACCTTCCTTTTATTCCTAAAACATGGTGGTTTATTCTCCAGGTAGATGAAGTACTTCATTTCTCCAAACTTCAAAGATGGAAAATGCAGAGGTAAATCTCCATTCATTCAATTTTCATTTTGTCCCCATTGAAGAAAAAAACAACCCATAGGCTTTTAGAATCATGAATTTTTAACGTGTTAGTTTTGCTTGTAGTATGAGGTTCTTAAAAATATATATTTTATTAATGTCTGCTGTCTGCCTGTAGGTAAACCCTGAGAAAAGCCATGGGGATATTCAGCTCTTGCATAAAGTGGGTAGCCATTCAGCCTCCATATTTCCAGAAAGGAAGCTTGATCCTGCTGAAAGAGTAAAACAGAAGCTGCAGTCATCGACAAGGAGGTCTCATGCTTATGTGCTTCCAACCCCAAATGATTCAACTTTTGCGGCATCTTCAAGAACAAGTAGCTCCTTTTCCCACTCAAGATCAACAAATGTAGCTGGACATCCACACAATTTATGGCATTCCTCCCCACTAGAGCAAAAGAATCACGAGAAAGATTCTGGTGATGGTCAATCATCAAAGTTTACCATCTTGAATTCCGAGTCAATTCTCAAAGAGAACAGCAGTTCTAATAATACCACTACGCAACTACCCCCTCCTTTGACTGAAGGAAAAGAATCGACCCTGCTGGATATCTCCTCTGAAGCCAAAAATATAAAAAGAAAATCTGTTTCTGGTCCATTAACTAGTAAACAATTGTTAACAAAGCCTGTTTTCCAGCCAAGCAGTTCTATTCCATCTGCTGAACTTCCCAGTTTAGCTTCTGCATTATTTTCTCATTTAACAATTCCGCGATCGTTGTCACCTCCCAAAGTATCCCCAAGTGCATCACCTCCCCTTGTTTCTTCACCCAGATTAAATGAGCTTCACGAGCTTCCAAGGCCTCCTGATAATTTAGCTGCCAAGTCAGCAAAACCTCTTGCTTTGAGTGGTCACTCTGCTTCACTAATCTCAAGTAATATTCCTTCACCGGCAGTAAGTGGAGCATCTCGTCTTCTCGCAATCAAAGCGCAATGGCGAATAATTTTTCCAGGATTTTGGAGGCTCCACAAGTTACAGACAAGGATGGAGAAGTTGCATTGCCTTCGTCGATGCCCATTAAACCAAAACCCGGTGTTCCCGAAGTGGCATCTCATTCTGACCAAATTAGAGGTAATTGGAGCTTCATAATCTTTCCATTACTTTTGGTCCTTTTTTTTATACAAGTTGATATTTGATTACCATTTTTCATGTTTGACATTCATGTGAAATAACATTCGAGTTTATGCAGGTAGAAGCTGAGATAGCTGATTCATTTGCATCTGATTGAACCTTTATCCGGATAGTTGTAGGTGAGGTGAGGTGCGTAAATACGAGGTTTAGTGATGTGTTAGTTAAGTTAGCGATCCTGAATCTTGGTTAGGCTGGTAGGCTAGCATGTTTATTTGTCGAGAATTAATGATAAAGAAGTTGCCACGATTGGAGTGATCGTTGTTTTGTATCGCATATATTGTCCATTGTTCACATAAGAAAATTGCTTTTGTTGTTTGATCTGAGATTGGATGTGCGCTGTCATTAGCATCATGTGCCCCATGAAATGAATTGTTAAGGAAAATGAAATGGATTAATCTTTCGGGAATTCCATCAGCTTTCAGGAAATGTGTCGCCTAATGTGGTAGCGTTTACTAGATTGTGTGTTTGCATGCTGCCGCCTTTTGATACAAGTCAAAATCACCATATAATTAATTTCAAATTTGCAGAGAATTTAGTAGGAAATAAGGCTTTATACATAATACATCAAGTAGATGGAAAATGAGTGGGAAATAGTAAAGACGGGGGTGAAAGAGTTGCTCAACTAAGTATTGTGTTGTCAAGCCATAATGGTACGCGTCATCAAGTAATAATAGTTGGGAAACGAGATCTTCCCTCAAAAGTATCTATGGTTTGTAGTTTGAGTTTATGACTCTAATTTTATTTAGTTTATTTTAAAAAATTTCAATATAATTTATCTGATGAAAATATAAATTAAAAAAAATAAAGATATGGGATTGATGCGGAAATTCATATAATCATATATCTTTAGAGAGAGAATTTAATGTTTTTCCATATGATTAATATATTATTGGTGTATAAATTTACATACTAACGATAAATTGTATGGTATTATATCTTAAAATTTTCAATTAAAATATTTCATTTTATGTAAAAAATTTAAAGATTTTTAATTAAATCTTTGTACCTATATAAATTCATACATTAATAATAGCGTAAACTATCTATTTGATCTCATATATTTTTGTATTTATGCTATGGTCGTTCAGTTACCTTTTTCAAAATCATATTAAATGTTGTGTTTTTATTTTAGTACTCGTCGTTCAAAAATTAACAACAATGCTAACATAGTATTTTTTATTTTCATATTATTTTCTCTATTTTAATCAGCAACTCATGTGTCATTTTTTAAATTATTTAAAGAAAATGACATGTATATTACTGATTAGGAGAGACATAATAACATGAAAAATAAAAAAAATTATGTCAGCATCACAGTTAATATTTTAACGGTAATTATCAAATTAAAAACAAAACGTTACCTTCAATATGATTTTTAAAAAGTATATTACTGAATGACCAAAATAGAAATATGAAAATAGATTTGAGGGCCAAATAAGAAATTTACTATATTATTCATAGGGCGTATTCTCCTCTTGAAACGATGACGTTTCAAACAAAAATAGCGAGAAAAACCCAACGTTGCTGCCGTTCGTTTATTTCAACTCTTTATTTAACCACTTCCATTTCTTATTTAAGTCAACAAGGTCAAAGAAAAAAAAACATTTTCAGCTCTTGCAGATTCATGGCGACGCTTATGGCAAATCTACTGGTCAAGGCATTCTTTGCTCTTTTCTTGATATCAGCGACCACCGCCGTTGGCGACTCCCCCTTCATCATCGCTCACAAGAAGGCATCTCTCACCAGACTCAAATCCGGCGCAGAACGCGTCTCCGTCTCCATCGACATTTACAACCAAGGCTTCTCGTGCGTTTCTCTTTCCCCTTTTCTTCTATTTTTAATTCTTTTAGTTCAGATCTAGAACTAACCACTCCATCGAGATGGAAAAGTTGAAACTCTGAATTGATAATTCAAGTATGAATTTGACCTATCCTTAATATCTCATGTAGCTTACGATTTCGTTTTAGGCTTTGCATGTAAGCATCTTCTTTGCATGTCTGAGAAAAGATCAAAATTTACTTTGTTTTTGCTGATAAGTCAGTTTAGAGAACATAAAGAGAGAAAATCGGTTTAAATTTACTTTCTCTTCTTTTCTTTTTTCTCATTTTAACACTTGGATCTGAAAGGACTGAAATCTGATAAATTTGGAACTATTACTTTGGCATTTTATCTTATTTTCTTGTATGTTTTTCTGTTGTAAAATCTTGCCTGTTTCATAGATTTTCAATTTCCTGTCTGTTACTTCATGTATAAGTCTAATCTAACCCGTTGACCATCAAACTATAATTGGAGGTTGATGTTAGTACACGATCTAATATAATACTCGAACTATATTGTATAGGGCATTAGTTGCCTGTTTTCGCCTTTTAATATACCCCCGTGTGAAGGAATTTTTTTTTTTTGAAGTTTCTCATTCATTTTATGTTGAGAGTATATATAATCTTACTTGAGGAAAATATTTCTGAATTTTTTTTTCAGCACGGCATATGATGTGAGTCTCGTGGATCATAGCTGGCCCCAGGATGAATTTGATGTCGTCAGTGGCAATATTTCACAGTCATGGGAGAAACTTGATGCGTGAGTATTTCCTTTCTGTTGTTCCATTTAATTTGTTTGTTCTGGATCACATCTTAATTAAATTCCAAACCTCTACAATCTGCAGTGGTGGTATTCTGTCACATTCATTTGAATTAGAAGCCAAAAGACAAGGGATGTTCTATGGTGCACCAGCTGTTATCACTTTCCGCATTCCCACAAAGGCTGCTCCACAGGTTTGAGATCCATAACAGAGTCTATTTTCCATTTTTAAAATTTAAGGCAAAGGAAAGAAAAAGGAAATTGTGAACAAGCTTTGATGCTCTAATTTGCTCGGTATTTTAGGAGGCATATTCAACTTCAATCTTGCCGTTAGATATCCTTGCCGAAATACCTCCTGAGAAGAAGTTTGACTGGGTGAGTTCTTTTTGGAATTACAATAAGCAAATAATTCAAGGTTATTGAATTTCTTTATCCTTGTTTCCATGTTACTGAAGTCTGTTTTTTTTCTTTTGTGGAACTTGTGTTGGCCGGGACTAAATATTGAAGGCTAAGGTATGAATGCTTATTGCTACATCTGTTAAAATAATCATGCTTCTTAATCTGTATCAAAAGAATGCATACATCCCCCTCTCTTTTGAATATCTTTGTTGTCGGGATTAATATGTAGTGGTTGAGTGTTGCTTCTTCGATAACAAATAAATATTGATGGATCCTTGATGAACCACACTTCTAGTTCTTAACCTTTTCAGTGTTATTTACGGAGTGCATAAAAAAAATTAATGTGTCATCTTGTGCAGAGGTTGCTGGCTAAATATGGATCTCAAATCTCTGTGATATCAATTGTGGCTCTATTCATCTACCTGATGGTTACCCCATCAAAATCCAGTGGTGTAAAAGCAAGCAAGAAGAAGCGCTAAGTATTTGTAGCTGAGCTGAATACGCAAATTTTTCTTTCTGTTTGCAGTTCAAAAGGAGTCTTTTATTTGTTTTAGAACATATTTGTTGGCGGAATTTTATAGTTAGATGGATGTTAAATGAGTTTAGTGTAAGACGAATCAACTAATTCACACTTCTTAGGCCTAGACTTCAACTAATATATTGGGTGTCAGTTTTAAAATTTAGAACTTTTTACGTTCAACCTTTTCAGTGTGTTTGTGTATGTGTATTGTAATGCTTTTGATGTGATGAAGTGAAAAAGAGAGAAAGAGTGATTGTAGAGCTGAGATCTGTGTTTCTGGTCCACTCTTAGCAAAGCCAAATAGGACCATTGATGAAACACGGACCTTGGTAAATAAAGGTGTTAATGAGTATTGAACCAATTGTGGCATGAGACGTCGGTTTGGAACGACTGGCCCTGGCTCAGCTTGAAGAACCCCGTGTATGGTCAGATGTGTCTTAAAAAGGAGAGGAGTTTTAAGAATTAGGAGGCATGAATTTTACATTAGCTGTGTCTAAGAGTTGGTGTTGGACTGAACATATGTGGATAGTCGGATGCCATGAATCTCTGCCAAGAGGTGTATGTTAGAATAGGTGATGGAATTTAAGTGATCACGTCATTTTCCAGCAGTGAGGTGTTTTATTGGACAAAACTGGTAAGGGTGTGTGTACCTATTAGGATGGTAGGTTTGGAGTGGGGGAGGATAAATTAACTTTGAGGTGTTAATGTCTAATGAGGAAAATTGAACAAATTACTTGCAGATTGGTGTGGGGTACAGATTCATTCTATTAATTTTCTATACATTGGTCATCACCATTTAAATATATAAGGGCTAGTTAATCAATTTTAGGATGTAGCAGTAAGAGACTCTTATTGAAATAAAATCTTAATTTGTATTAGATTTCCTCCTGCTTAAATATGTTTAAAATCTATTCATGAATCGTGAAAGCCATTTTAATGGACGTTACTATGTTAATGTATGAATGGAATATATGAATAGTTGAATGATCATTTTATAACTTTTAATAGTCGGAAGACTTAATAAAGTAGTGTCTTATAGTTAGGGGATTATTTTATAACTTTAAATAGTTGAGGCATTTATTAAAATAATATCCTATAGTCGGAGATCATTTGTGTATTTTACCTTTTTTAATTTTATCTTTCTATGTTTAACTCCGATACATAATTTATCCCTTGCCGTAGATAAATTATTTCATGTACATTTTTGACCACGTGATCTGTAGTCTAAACTACCCACCAACCATTAAAAGCCACGTCATCCAATAAGGTGAATTTGAAGAGTGTTGTTGCATAGAAATTCCCCCTGCTGTGTTGAAGCGTGAGATGTATAAGAGGTGGAGCAACTATCTTGTATTTGTGGTGTTGTAGCTTCAGATGATGAATGTTGCTGCATCGGAGTTGCAGATGATGAATTGATGCTTCAGGTGTGGAATTAGAGGAGAAGGTGTTGACAACAGTTGGCTTGGACCTCAAACATGTTGCTCTCTGGCTAGAGGTGTCTACTTCCAGGCTTAAACCAGAATTAGAATGCTTTACATATTTAGGATTGTAAATTACAAGTTTCAAGAACTTATTAAATATACACAAATAGAATGCACACGGAGATGTTGGCTTACATTCAACACTTGCACTCTATTTTTCATCCCTAAACTTCCAATTTCTGTTCGTTTTGATCACTTGTTCATTAAGTATTACGTTATACATTAGATTGAAATAAATCAAAGCTTTAATTTGATTTTTATCGACTTTAAGAGAATTTTAAGAGGAAAAAAAGAGAGAACGGAAAATATTTTGGTAATGGTTACGTTGTAAATGATGACTGACGTCGGTGGTAAAGGGTTATGGCCATGGAAAAATTAATGTTAAAATTTCCACTTAACGGCAGAGCGAATAAAAAGAGCGAAATTAAAATCTTTAGTGATGAAATTAAATTATTTTGAAGTTAGGTGATAAAAACAAAAATAAGAGAAAAGTTGAATAACAAAAAATAGTTTACCCAAAAACCGTCGTAGAGAATTTGTTCCATTCTGTTGTATCTTGTATTTCGAGAAACTAGTAGAAGACAGACGGAGGGAAAAAGGTACGAAGAAAACGAAAGGATAAAAAAAAAACATAATCAAAATAACAAAATGAGTTACCAGAGAGTTCCTCAAGATTCTTATCCTCCTCCCGGTATGAATTCCCTTTAATAATCTTCCTTTTCTTAATTCCCTGATTTTATCATTTGATTCCTTTATTTGTTTTCTACAGCAGGTTACAATCCTTTTTCGCCACCACCCCCACCACCGGACGGCCACCCATCAGCCCTTCCTCCTTCTTTCGAAGGTTATCCGCCATCTTTCGAAGTCTACCCGCCGCCCCCACCGCCTGGATATCACGCTTATCCTCCTCCACAGCCGCCACACCAACCGCCTTACGAGGGCTACCAAGGGTATTTTGCCGAAGGGTATCCGCCACCTCCAGGTGGTCATCCTCAATATCAACAATGTCAACCCCAGTATGAGCAGTATCAGTACCAGGAGGACCAATCTGATGCTGGCTGTTTCGCTTTCTTACAAGGCTGGTATGTCTTTCTTATTTCTTCTTCCTGAAATTGTTCCATTGGCTTGGTTCTTAATTTGTTAATTTTAAATTGGAATTTTTAAGCTTTTAGTTTTATTATTGGGTTATTGAGAAAGGATTCTGTTTTCCTATATGTGGTTACCTGTTCAATATGGATCAGTTTTATATTGTAGAGACTAGATTTTCTTTATAGAAATGTAGATCAAATACCTTGAATTGACGATGAAACTTCAAAATGACAATCATGGAAGATATGCATTGATATCAGTGTTATGGAGAATCACACTCTGTTTGATATCATTGTTGCATACAAGTTTTCTATTAATCTAATACCACTATTGGCTTTTCATGTCAAGTTCTTGAATTTCGTTAGAGCCTATGCTCGAAGACTGTTAGGGACATTTGATAGATAATTCCTGCTACAACTTATTCTTACCTGTCAAATTGTGTACTTTGAAGTTCAAGGGCATTCCTCGTTTCATGCTTATGAAACTTTACATACCACAAGCTAATGTGGCATTTTCCAATAATCGATTGTTGAATTGTTTATGTATTTTTTAAAGGAAAACAAATCATGCATGTGAGTTTCTAGAGTGTCGCATGGAATTAGAACATTTTCATGTGGAATTTCATTTATACTGATGGATAACACGATATAGTTTCCTTTTGACAACCTTAGGCCATTAGCTCGTTAGGTACTTGTTGTTCGTTTAATCCTTTAAGCTATGATATAAAGTTGTGTTAGGCTTAGATTATAACAGCTGAACGAAGAACTGGTGTCTGTTGCCCACTTTTTGGCATTTATCATTGATAAACCATTAATTGGATAATATACATGTTTTTGAAGCTTTGCTTGCTATTATATGTGATTATTTACTGATGCCGTTATGCAGTTTGGCGGCTCTCTGTTGCTGCTGTGTGTTGGAGGAGTGCTGCACATGATAATTCATGAAAGATCGAATTATATCATTTACATTTCTGGTTTTGCTATGTTTCGTTTCTACTGTATGAAGGGAGAAATGCAGCTAATAAAGAGTTTTACCCGTCCTTTGTGGTAGTTGTTACTGTTTTATAAAGAGTTCTATGCGTGTAGGGATTCCATCCCTATCCTATTGATAATAGTCTATTTACTCGAACTTTGTAAATGGAAGTTTGCATTATAAATACATCTCTCAATTCGCTTGGTGTATCGATTATTTGTGTCTTTCGCTTGGAAATTCATCATGCTTAAGTTTCTCATTCTTTATAAATTCCTTTCTCTAAACAACTTTACGTGAAGGGTAGCTTTTTGTTGTCCTTTGAAAAATGGTATTTTCAATTGAGGAACTCGTATATTTGCAAATCGGGAAGAATAGTATTTTGAAGTTTGACCAGGGTTCACCTCGAACAATTCATGCACGATCATTTTATGTTTTAGCAGACTGCAATTAACATATCTGCAGCAGTTGATGTCTTTTACAGATGAAATTATTGAATTCTGCTGATTCCATGAATTAAAGCTGAAGAGGAACCCTCAGCGCCTGCAATTCTTTACGTGATAGCAAAACAAGTGGTACTGGTGACAACAATTGTAATGCAAAGTCCTAGACTGAGACTAATAAAAGAAAACAACTTTGGAAGGCCAAGAAAGAAAGTTACATCAGCAGTTAAAACAGATATGGGATTCCAAGTAGGCACCAGCCTGTAATCCTCTTCCACTGCCGAGAGCGGTAAGTTTTCGTGTCATTATAAACATTATCATTTCAAGTGTCTCAACAGTAATGAACGTTAAAAAAATCTGTTAAATAATATCATATTATATATTTTCTAAAAAGTATATTATTAATACATAAAATTATAGATTCTCTTTATTCTTTAATCTGATATTTTTAGTTCTTGCTTTCATCGAAATCAAGTAGAACACACATTTGCTTATATGACAGGTCAGTTCATTTGTCGATCTCATGCTGTTTATTATATCAAAATAAAATTACCATTACAAACAACTTGAGACAAATTTTATGTTATCCCGTATATAGAAGAAATCTAAAAGTTTTGTAGTCCAAATGTGGATAAAAGTTCCATGCCATCATACATTTAAAAAGCTTTTCCAAGTCAGCAGTATAACCCCCACCTGCACCTGCTCAATATTTTTCACTGTTACAGGGAGGGGGGAATTGATTTTCAGAAGAAACCTCATTTATGATCTAACTACACCAAGAACAAAACCGTCTCCGTAGTTTGGAGGATGAGATCAAAACCATCCTCTTGACAAAACCAACAGTTTTTTTCCCCGAAACAAATAAGTTGATAAAATGTTCTCACTGCAAAATAATAATAATAAAAATAATACTTTCCACTCAGCTTGACAACCAGCTATTTTCCACAACCCTGTGTTTATTTGTCCGGATGCTACGCCTTGGCAAGCTCTGCAGCAGCAGGAGCAACTGGAGCAGGAGCAACACCACCGGTGGTTGGCCTGAAAGATTGCATAAATCCCATTATCATAAACTGTAATCACATGAAATCTGTATTAACAGAGTATGGTGCTCTGTAACTATAACGGGAAGAACTTACAGTCCCACAAACACTTTGAAGGCATCATAGATACCCCATTGAGCTCCAGTTAGTGTTCCAATCATGACAATACGGAGGGGAAGTCCACGGGTAAACAGACCCCACAATCCAAGCTTCTTCACTGCCTGCATAGCCAAGAGGCAGAAGAATGGGTCAAAGTGAAGTAAAAATTAATTCATAAAGTGAGAACTAATTATCAAACGGCTGGTCCAAGGTTCAGAACTTACATCCCCAACAGTTGCCCCTTTGGCGTTGTTAAGGAAAGAGACAAGGTTGTCAGCAGGATGAGAAACAATAGCACAGAGGACACCAGCTACATAACCACCAGCAAAACTAACACCGAGCTGCAGAGATTTGCTGCACTGGTCCTTCGGAGTGGGAATACCATACTTGTAGATCATCTCAACAATAGTTTCGAAAGAAGCAAATTTCATCATGGTATCTGAAAGATAGGAAGAGCATCTCAATGATCTTATATTTTGCCGTAATTAGAAAATGCGTAGAACTTTGGGGGGGGGGGAATAGATGGTTAAAGAAGGTAAGAGGAAAAGGCATCATCAAAAGGTAGAAGCTCCTAAGAAAAATGATTATAAATCTAGTAACTAGCAAAAAGTACATGGAAAACTTACATGGAATCTGACGACCCCAAAGAGGAACAATGCCCTTGTACAATCTGCAACGGAAAATAGTTAGAGAGCTCATTCCAAAAGATATTTCCTTGTACTACTTAAACGGATAATTTAACAACACCCAGAGGAACATACCCCAGAGCACCTTCGGATCTGACAAACTTGGGAAGACCATCAGATAAACCCCTAGCAAAACCAGGTTGGGTTTGAACCCTGACCTTGACTGCCTCGAAGGGGCAAAGCGCAACATCAGCAATCACCTCAGCAGATGCAGAGCCGGCAAGATAGATCAGAGTCTTGTATTTCGCAAAATATTCAGGTCCGGCAAGGTCAGAATAGTACTTCTTGAAAAACTAATAGAATCCGAACTTGCATGCACCCTGTGCGCTGTAACCAAGAAGAGTAGGAACCCAACCACGGAAGAAGCCTCTCAGTCCTTGCTCCTTTAGCAGAACTCCAAAACCAGATGAGATGCTTTTGTACTTTGCAGGGTCAATCTAGGAAAACAACAGTGACTAGTCCATGTGTCAACTTAGATCATTCACCTCATTAAATCCAGGTTACATTAAAACAATCCAACGAAGTAGCATCAACTGTTCGAAATGTGCATTTTCAATCTTGATGCCAACTTCTTTCCACTGATTCAAATAACTTGATACAAATTTTCTTAAAACATGTGGTGATATGAGATACATAACATTTTTTTGTATTAAACTTTTTTATATTTTTTAAATGTGCAAAAAACATGTTCAGCTGTACTAAAAATTGACAAGCTAAATATGTCATTGTCATCATATATATATTTTTTAAATAAGCCAAAAAAAGTGGGTATCAGGGCTAAAAATACACATTTCAAATATTAAAGAAACTAAAAATGATTAAATTATAGAGGAGAGACTAAATTCGTCAAACATACATAGTACTTAGACCTTCTAAAGAATTTGACCTAAAATTATTGTCCATGATGTATGTAGAGTCATTAGGTGCTTTAAATACTAACCATTACAATGAAACATAAGCTAGATTAACTGCTACAAATGGAAACAAGTATTCATACGGCAAGATTACCCCGTAAAATTTGGGAAATCCGTCTACAAACAATAAAAGATTTACAATTACAAGCGCTATTAGATACTACTAATTAACATGATGCACAAAAATTAGAATCAATTAACGTATCTAATACGAAATAAAGATATATAAATTTGGATAAAAAGTTTCAAATCTCGGTTGCAACCAAAACGCTACTCCTAAATAGTATAAATGAAATTATAAAAAGCAAAATTTGAAATAAAAGGTGTCAAATCTTCAATAAAATCGAGAGGCAGTGATTTAGTTCTGGAACAGAAGCAATATATTCTAGGCACGGATCTCATATGCAACAATTTGTCAATCAAATTTCAGTAGTGAGTATAAAGCTTAGCTCAGATCTCATCTTACAAAGCTAGAAGAAAGTAACTTAGAAAGAAGGCAAAAAAGAAGAGAGATAGATATGTAAACCTGCATATTACACTTGACGAGGTCAAGCGGAGTAACCGCCATGTGAGTGAGACCACAGCTAAGGATACCGCCGGCGGTACAAGCAGCATAGAACTGAGGCGAGTACATCTCGATCTTCTTCCCAGGCTCATTAGGCGAGGCGATCATGAAGCTTCTCGTCTTGATCGACGGCGAGGATGAAACAGCGGGAGCATCGAGCTTAGTGGAGGACGAAGCAGAGAAAACGGGGCTGTTGGAGTTGAGGAATCGATCGAGAGAGAATGAGCTGGGGGAAGAAGAGTAAAGGAAGGTGGGGAGAAGGGATTGTTTGGATGAATCGGAGATGGCAGCCATTGCCGAAGAAATGGAAGCGAGAGAAAATGAAAAAGGCGAAGAAATGGGAATTTCTTTCGGATTTTTGTTTCTCTCGCTGCCAAACGCTCTGTTAGGAAGCTGATCTTTCGGGCTTTATTAGCGGGCAATGCAAAGGGCAGTAAATGGAAAGAAAGACGACGGAAAACCCTGGCGTGATTTATCAAGTGGTTTTATTTCTGGCCTAATTTTGGTTTTAATCCCTCTACTATTCTAAAATTAGCCTATTTTTGCCATCAAATTAAAATTAATTTAATTTATCATAAATTGTTCACTTTATTTTTATAATGTCTTATGTCTTTAGTAACTTCAAGATAATACCATTGCTAACCATTATTTTTATTATAACAAAATTATTTTATTCATCTTTATTTAAAATTTATAAATAAAAATTTTTAATATATTGTATATAATTATCCATTATGTGATATAATCTGATTTTGAGTATTATAGACTTATGATGAAGGTAACTTTTTTAATTTGTTCTATTTTCGATGTCATTATTCAAGTCCTAAATGTTCAGTGAATCTAGCATTTTATATCGTTCTATCATCTTATATTAGTGGCATCGTTCAAAAATATTGTTAATTTGGACCAATTAATGATATTATAAGATTAGAAGAGAATTTAAATAGATATATTATATCTATAGTTTCAGTATAACAGAGAGACTAACCCCGAGGCTAATTCTAGCTGGAATTAGCTGGAGGGCCTGAGATTTGCACTTCATTGGCCAACACTGACGACACCTCCATCGACAAAACGAGGAATATAAAATGAAATATGTAATAGATTTTTTTTAATAATTTCATATGTTGTATTTTAATGTATTCCTCTTGCATTTATGTAATTATTTTTGGTTTAGTGTTAATAAATATTTAATTATATTTGTGTGTTGCAAAATTTCAGTTGTCCGAAATGCAATAAGAGAAAGAAAACAGGATCTGTATCGCAGAAGAGTTTACAATTCACACAAGAAACCGATCGAAACACAGACAAAATTGTAACAGTCAACTAACGAAGCATATTGATCCAAGCAAGCACCGACCTGTAATCCTTCCACTACTTACTGCGAGAAGTTTTCCATTGCTCTGTGAATCAAGCCTCACGCTTTACCTTCCACTTTAGGAACCCAAGAAACTAGCTTGCGCTTAATTCCCATTGTCCAACTCCAAGCTTGGAATGGGCAGGCCAGAATCCAGCTGGCAATGGATCCGATCACGTGTGTCAAGCCAACCGTCCAACATCCGTAATGCCCCCACTTGGGTCACAAGCTCACATTACCATGTGGGATTTCCTTCTTTTTACGGGGTTGTGGACTTTGAGGTGTTGCAAGAAACACAAAATGATTTCTTTGATTAGCATTTGATGGTGGGCAATCATCAACTAGATTAATGTTAACTGACTGATAAATATTTTTTAATAGAAACAGAAGCCGCCGATTCGATCAGCACCCTCTCTATGCTACCTTTAGCACGCATATTGTACCACTCCAGTCTTGATGTTAACTGTTACAATTTTGTTTGTGTTTCGATCGGTTTCTTGTGTGCCGGGAAAAATGTAGTATGTGCAGATTTTTGGAGAAAATGAAGGCAATGTTGACCACGGTCTTTCTCGAAGAAGATAAATTCTCACAATTGACCTTTTGATATTATGACTGAAATGAATATTACTCTGTTGATAGCATTAGAACATCGGTAACTCCAAAGAATGATCTATAAGCTAACAGCATATTCTTGGTTTCTTGTTCTTCTGATCCCATCTCTCATACCCTTCATTTTGCTTTAAAGTATCATGGTCCAATATCCATGTTGGATACACCCTTCCTTTCATATTCAAATCAGAGTAGCATAACTTGTTATATATGATTTCCGAACTACTTATCTGTCAATTCAATAACCATTACGTGATATCAGTGATTCTTCTTGGATGATGAAAGTGTAAGTGGTCACTCGATATAATGTATAACTCGCATAGTAAACATATAAATAAAATCAAAGCCAAGCAAAGTGGACAAAACATTCTAGTTTATTATTATTACAAGCATCTCAGATTAGATCATTACTTCTTGTAACCTACGTATAATGTATACGTGGTTAAACAGTAGAGATTAATCTCATCACAGACAAGAAAAAGAGTTGCAGCACAAGCATAACAATGGCACCATCAGACTTAGCTTAACAATCGGAATTCTTCCCCACAAACTAACCCGAGCTCGGTACAGGTGCAAAGGCTTCTGAAGCCAGCCATTGCGGTGTTGTTTCAGTAGGAAAAATGAAGACATATCGGGTGCATTCACATATGGCAAAACGGCTGGAGAGGCTGAAAATGCGAGCTCATTGATGACAGATTGAAAATTAGACGAGAAAATGACCAATGGTATAATAGCAACAAACAATTTAGAGCTAGTAGTAGACATTGATGTGGTATGAGAATTTCAGCTGAAAACTGAAGGGTATTTGAATCTTGTGAAGGGTGGTGGCTTGGCTGAAGCATCTCACGAGATACAAAGTCTCATATATACAATCTTGCTCAACGTTAAGTAGAAATTTTTTAAACAATCAAATAACACATCCAATATTATATGCATACTAAGTGAAAGTTCCTTATTTGTTCAAGCAGTGAGTGGATACAAATTCCATACACAAAAACTAATAAAGAGATGAGAATTTATGGTTCAACAAAGAAGGAAATAAGCCGAAACAGTTTTTCGAAAAAAGTTAAGATCAGCACAAAAGAACAACTTTGAAGTGATGACAAAAGAACTAGGTTCTTCTATGTTCGAAGGCATGCCATAGCAGGAAACATGCATGCTTTTGGCATCCAGAAATAATAATAATAATTGTTCCTTTATGTGTTCTTTTAGAGAAATAAAGTTCTTTATATAAGAAGAAATAGTATGACTGCAAATTTCTATTTTTAACTTCACAAGCAAACTGATTCAAACTCCATCCAGACCTAGAGAAGAAGAAAACAATTAAATTTCCCTGGTATTATAGTCAACCTCTGAATCCAACCAGAAGATAACCCGGCCAAAACCAAGCTAATAGGCTGTGCAAAGCTCCACCTGCACATTTCATAGCAAAACCATTTAGGCACAAAACAGACAACACTTCTTTGATGCTAGATCAACATAAAGAAAGAATCAAGAAAAAGCACCTGTGTAATGGAAATTTGGGTGATGCAGTGCAAAAAGGAGGGGGGACCAAAATATCCATAGATTTCTGGGAATCAAAATATCCATTTTTTCTACAATTATACAGTAATGAAAATCATTACTTGCTCCCAAAGTTGATAACTTTACTCGCCTGATCCTTGGCAATCATCTTTAGCAGGTGGTTGCTGCTGGTTCTGATGCTGCACCCTAGCTTGCCCCATCTGCTGATACATCTGGTTCAAGGCTTGAGGATTTAAAACCCCAAAATGACCATGTTGCGACAACCCAAGTTCCAAACCAGGGAGCTGCTGGTTAGGCTCACCCAGCATTGAAGTGAAACTCATCTGACCCATATTAGTAGTACTCAAGTCAGATCCAGGAAACCCAATTTTCTGCATATAATTAGAACTTTCACTGCCTATATTTGTTGTAGATGGACCAGATGATGACTGCAACCCATAATCACTGACCGGGGGCCATAACCCGGCTGCTGCCATGTGATGGGGTCTCCCCAAATTACCTCCAACAATCCCCCAATTGGTCTTACTGGTCCCTGAACCTACACTGGACCCTCCTAAATATTCAATCTTTTGGTACAACCCTACAGATAAAGAAGCCCCTTGATGCGAAACCGAGACACCAGCTCCAGCTGCATCCAAAGCCGATGCCGGTATCGTTCCGGTCCCCGTGGCGGCTATTATCGATGGTTCAGCTTGTTGTAACAACCACCGTATCGTTTCCCCATCGGATTTGTGACCCAATTCCCGAGTCAACTGAAAGATCCTAGCTGCACATAAAGCAGGCATCCTTGTCCTTCTTCCTCTTCCATCAACTTTTTTATGCCTGTCTTTTTTGGAACTTCTCTTTGGGACCAAAAGTTGCTTCTTTCCTTCTTTATCTGCAACAACAGCAAGAACATCCTTTGTTTTAGCTGCTTTGTTCTCATCTGTTTGAAGCTGTTGTTGTTGTTGGGGTTGTGATGGTAGGGTTAAGAAGTTGGGCAATTCATGTGAAGGCTGCTGCTTGGAGTCCGTGGGATCCATTGATGGATGAAAAAGGAAGCCCTCCTTGATTGAAGATGAAAGTGACCTGAAAAAATTCCTCAACTTTCACTTCTTTGTTTTCGCTGTTTTTGGCAAAGGAATTGAAAGACAAAAAGTATATACGGTAAATTCAAAATCTTGTAAATTTGCTAATTTAGTCAGTAAAAATTTTGTCACTGTCAGAGAGAAACGTAAGTCTAGTATAACTATAATTTCGTCCTTATTATTTACAACCCCTATCATATTGGTCCTAATTTTAAAAAATATAACAAACTTAATCTCATATTTTCAAATTCTATCAATTAAACACTTTACATTTACAAGTTTAACCCTCTCCACAAAGTCTATCAATCGGATCTTAATCCAGTCCTAAAATTAAAAAAAAAAATGTAATTATAAAAATACAAAATTTTATATGTATATTTACTAAAATATTTTGAAACTTCAAAATAATTAAAAAGGTTTAAAACCAAAGAAAAAGAAATATTTTAAAACGAATCAATTTCTTCCTTTTCCATGTTTCTCAATTTTGAAAGCTTTTTACTATTATATAGAATTATTTAGAAAAAAAAATTTAATAATTTAACCCTTCACATTTATGAAATCAAATCCTTAACCATGCCCTATCAATTTAGACTAAATCTCATTTAAATATTATCTTAAATGCAATAGCTCCAAAACCTCCTATGTCACACCAATCAAAACCGAGACCCTAATCAATGTCCAACACCATAACCTCAAACTATAAAAATATTAGCTGCTTTCAATTCCGTTGTTATGTTTGAGAAAATAGGTTTTCTGGTTTAAGCGTAGAGCTGTAACATGTGATTCTATAGGGAGAGAAAAAGTTTATCTATTTATCTAGCTATCTGTAGGTTGACATGATGTATAGCAGTGGTCATATTCAAGATTATAACTGACTAAAGGGTATGGAGCTCTGAAAACTTGGAAGAATTCTAGAGGCTGTCGAACTCCGAAAGAATAGCGGTGGAGGCGTGACTTTGTGTAACTTGTTGATGAGGTCTTATGCTAAGGAAATTTGAAGGAAGTACAACATTTATCCCTCTTATATATGCAATGAATATATTTGATGCTAAAATAATCTGAGCAAATTTATTTCAACGCTTTATATAAAAGCAATGAAAGAATTTTTTTACAATCTCGAAGAAGTAATGGAAAAGGTAGTATCTCAACACTGGGTTAACTCTTGTTTTGTGAAAACTCATGGACTCCAGCGCAAACCAAAGTTGACAGATTTAATGAATCTTAACTCTTAACATTTAGTTGTATTATTTTGGGGTGCAATTAGCCTGCATAATACTTGAACTTGACTTGGAAAACCTTGTATCCTATTCATCATCGCCGTTCACAAGTCTAGAAACGTAAAATCATTGTAAAAAGTAAAGGGACATACCTAAATAAATGAAGGCCAAGGGCCTATTGTAAATGGACAAGGGATTCAGCTTATATACCCGTAAATGAAGTGCAAATCGTTTAACTAGTTCACATGGATACAGCAAAGACAAAACAAAACAAAACAAAACAAAACAAGGTTGAAGATATATTTGTAAAAATTCCAAGGCCCTTAAAATCATGTGGCAGACAAGCAAGCATTCGCCGACAAGATCATACGAATAATACAAGAGAAGGGAATCTTGAACTCCAACACCGAACAAATCAAGTGAAACCAAACCAGAAAAGGCTTTAATAATTATGCCTAAAATTATAGGTAGATAAATTTAACACTCCCACAGTGTATCTCGTGAGATGCTTCAGCCAAGCCACCACCCTTCACAAGATTCAAATACCCTTCAGTTCTCGGCTGAAATTCTCAGACCACATCCATGGCTACTACCAGCTCTAAATTGTTTGTTGTTGTTATACCATTGGTCATTTTCTGGTCTAGTTTTCAAACTGTCACCAATGAGCCTGCAATTTCAGCCTCTCCAGCTGTTTTGCCGTACGTGAATGCACCCAATATGTCTTCATTTTTCCCTACTGGAGCTCCACCGCAATGGCCGGATTCAGAAGCCTTTGCACCCGTACCAAGCTCGGGCAAGTTTGTGGGGAAGAGTTCCGGCTGTTCAGCTAAGTCTGATGGTGCCACTGTTATGCTTGTGCTGCCACTCTTTTTCTTGTCTGTGATGAGATTAATCTCTACTGTCTAACCACGTATACATCATATGTAGTTTACAACAAGTAATGATCTCATCTAAGATGATTGTCAAAATCATCAACTAGAATGTTTTGCCCACTTCGTTAGGCTTTGATTTTATTTATATGTTCATTATACGAGTTATACATCATATATCGAGTGTTCACTTATGCTTCCATCACTCATGAAGACTCGCTAACAAGCTTGACATCAAATACATATTGGTTATTGAATTGACAGAAAAGTAGTTTGGAAATTAGATATAACAAGCTATGATAATCTGATTTGAAGAGCTAAACTCTCGAGATAACGTTCTCGAACAAATTATTTCATGAGATAATGCTCTCCCAAGATTAATTGCTCAAATAGGATGAAATCTATAGTGTTGGCCGTAGGTCGCCATGCCATCCGGGCGACCTACTAGGTCGCCATGTCTTCCCGGCGAGCTATGAGAGAGATTGCATGTGCCATGCACGTTCCAACACGCTGGGCATCCGACCGAGGCCATCCGAGCGAGAGAATCCGACCGAGGTTATCCGAGCGAGCTATGCGAGGGCATCCGAGGATAAGATGAATCACGTGAGGAGCAGGAGGGAGTGCGTCGCCCGGAAGGCATGGCAACCTATGCTTGGGGACGTGCATGGCTGGCCACGTAGTAGGTCGCTCGGAAGGCATGGCGACCTACGGCCAACACTGTAGATTTCACCCTATTTGAATAATTAATCTTGGGAGAACATTATCTCGTGAAATAATTTGTTTGAGAACGTTATCTCGAGAGTTTAGCCGATTTGAAGTGTCATATTTGTCTGAAAATGTATCGAACATAAATATTGAATATTGATACTTAAAAGCAAAACGAAGGAGCAGGGAGATGGGATCATAACAACAAGAAACCAAGAATCCGCTGACAACTTATAGATCATTCTTTGGAATTACCAATGTTCCGGTAGCATTCATTTCAGATGTAAAGTCCTTAAAAGATGAAAATTTTAAAGCTTATCAGAAGGTCGATTGTGAGAATTTATCTTCTTCAAGAAAGACCATGGTCAGCACTGGCATCGCCTTCATTGTTCCTCCAGAAATCTGCACATACTTCATTTTCCCCGTACACAAGAAACCGATTGAAACAAAAAAATATTGTAACAGTTAAAATCAAGACGGCAGAGCTTCAATTTCCGTGCTGAAGGCAGCAGAGAGAGGGTGCCGATGACTCCTGTTTCTATTAAAAAATATATTTAGATCAGTCGGATGACGGTTAATCTTTTCAGATCATCAAATACTAATCAAAGAATTCATTTTATGTTTTTTGCAAGAACGCAAAGTTCACAAGCTCGTAAAAAAAGGAAGGAAATCCCACACGGCTCAGTTTTTAATGAAAGGATTTGTTTAAATACAGTGTATGCAGCGGAGGTGTTCGTCGAGCTTGGTAACGCGAGCTTGTAACCTAAGTGGGGGCATTAAGATTATGGGACGGTTGACTCGACACACGTGGTCTGGTCCATTGTGGCTGGAATCTAGCCTGTCCTTTCCAAGCTTGGAGCTGATCCATGGGGTTTAAGCTAAGGCTTGAGTCTCGTGGCTACTAAAGTGGAAGGTAAAGCGTGAGGTTGGATTCACAGAGCAGCGAAAACTTCCCGCTCTTGGCAGTGGAAGGATTACAGGTTGGTGCCCGCTTGGATTTAATATGGCCTCGTTGGTTAGCCCAACTGGACCTTAATCTTTAATGACCATCGATTTTGACACCTAAAACCTTCAGATTTTGTGTTTATGTAAATCTGGAACAGTGTGATTTGTTCTTTTCCTGCTATATATATTCTGGTTTGGTTTTTTTCTCTCTCTCTTATACAACCCTGTTTGGATTTTCATCTTTATTTTGGGCGACTCGACTTTAAAGAGCACAGACATCTCATCTTATTCTAATTTTATATAGATCCATCTATGTTTTGGTTAGATTCTTACACCAACTGGTTTTATATGACAATTTGAATTCCTAAATTTATTCTACTTTTCAAATTGTGATAGAATTATGAAAATTTTCTTTTAATAAATTAGAAAAATAAAAGAATAGGTCACTTATTATCGTATTAATACTGTTAATGAAAGAAGAAGAAATACCTCTACCAAAACACATGATAACTACCATTTGTACTTAATAGATACTAAGCTTATAAATCTTATTATACTGGCCCATTAACATTCCGGTAAACACAAAGGCTCAGCAGAGCCCGATATTAGAGCTCCACAGCACTCTCCGACCTTTTGATTAGCTTTTGATTAGCTTTTGAATCCAACTATAATATAAACTTTCATGATATCCAATGCTACATGGCCAGGGTTAGTGGTTCATATGAACAGAAATATTTCTCGTAAAAACCGAATTCGAGATTCATAGAAGCTATTTACTGAAACCAAATCAACTGGTTCTGAGATTGTTGTCTTGAAATCCATTATTAGGAGTATATGAAAGAACAGACATGTACAGAATCCAATGAACCTTCCCACTTCTTACAATACACTTCCATACAGACACTGATGCAGCTTGCAACATATTACAGCCAGTGGTTTTCGTAATCAACTACTCAGAGAAGGACCAAAGTACATGCAAATAGGTGGATTGATCCTCATGATAGAAAGTATGGCCGATGGTATGGTCCAAATACCGTCACCGCAAATTAAACCTGAAGCGATCGCACCTGCGTAATCCTCTGCGTCCTTCTGGTTAATCCGTTCCCATACGTACAAGATTACTGTTCCGACAAACATGTCGACCGCAAAGTAAGCTCCAATATAGAATGGAACTGCCATAGCCATTGGAATAGGAATGAACTGTGAAATTTTCTTGGGGGTCACATCCCTCAGGAGATTTACAAGCACAGCACCCACGAAGAATCCAGCACATAAAGCCAAACAATGTTTGGGCAGCTCCGAGAAGCCCTCGACACCAAGAATGGCCATTTCCCTGAATATAACTGCATAAGGTGCTTTGTATGGACCATCAGGCGACCCAACTTCAAAAGCAGTCCAAAACATCCAGAATGTGAGTGGAGCAATGACACATCCCATGGTTGTTCCCAGTAACTGGCTCACAAACATAGATTTGGCTGATGATAGGGTGAGGTAGCCCGTCTTGAAATCTTGCATTAGATCAGCTGCGGTGGAGACAATAGACATCATAACTCCACAGGCAGCCAAACCAGCCATGACTCCACCATCACTTCCAACCAAGGAAGCTATAATGAAAAGACCAATCTTTCCGTAAGTGGAAGACAGGTTCCAGTCCGTAAGTCCAGTTCCATAAGAGTTGCAGAAGGCAAGAGCAGGGGCAATAATGTATGAAACAAGAACCAGATACCACTTCAGGGGGGGAAAGATAATTGGAATAGTAGCCGTTGATATAGCAGCCAAGGCCACATATCCAGAAGCAGCAAACCATGCAGGTATCCTGTCTTTAAGAAATATTTCATCTCTTTTTCTCTGCTCTGCTAGCCCTTTAGAAGTCTCATTATCTGTGGAAAGTGGAAACACAACAATAATTCAATAAACCCTCAGTAGAGAATAGAATGGTTCAACAATGAAAAAGACATAAACATTATGCCTTGAAGTTCATAACAGTCTCAGAAGTTTCAACAAGGTAAAATTACATATTTAAATTAAGGCACTATAGTTACATCAATCAATGAGTTTTACTGAGAACTACAATTTTACACAAGGATGTCATATCAGTAGAAGCCACTTGGCGGTGACTACATGACTTCAGTTTTTCAAAAGATATGAAAACCACTGCAATAAAGCAGATTCATACACAACAAACAACAAAGGAAAATACAGGGCATCCTCACCTATAACCTCACCAACAATAGGAAGTTTGCTCTGCTGAGGGCTCTTCTTGCACATTTCTTTTGCAGTTATATATACTATCTTGATCAAGTTGTAAAGACCATCCCCAAGGATAAGGGCAATAGCTATGAAGACCTGTTAAACAAGTGATAGTGCAGAAAACTTCTTTAGATGAGTTACAAGAAGAGAACATTTCAATTAAGACAAAAGACAAAGGGTAAGAAAACCCGTAGGTGAAAGGACAGAACCATCAAAAAAATCCATAACAATAACTCAAGGACACCAAAATTTTCACCATACCTTGTAACCATAAAGACCTTTAAAATTATTGCTTTCTAGGCCAGAAGGGTACCAATCCCCAGCATGTGCAGAAATGAAAGGCCAGAGGAAACCCCAAGATATGATAGCCCCAAGAAGAACTGAGCAGTTTACTATGTGAGGGCAAATAAGACCACAACCAACATAGGTTGGACTAAAGTCAAAATAGAACCTAAAAAGGAAGTCATGTAAAATGTTAACAATATCATTAAAATATTTTATACAAATATCAGCAATCATGTGAATGAGATTTTACTCGAATCCAAATTACTGTCTGATTACATGCCAAGCTACTAGCATACATAGATCAAGAAAAGACATCTTGTGTGAATCAGAAGTACAGAAAAAATGTAGGGCATCAGAATACATGGGTCCTTTTTACTGTCAGTTCTTCTACTTCAACTGGTAACAAATTAATCATTACCGAGGACCAACTCACCATACATATAATAATGCATATGTATCACAAATATTTGAATACCATCAACTTTACCCTTTGGCTAATGGTGATAAAGGTTATATAATTCCCATAAGATATGTGAGCAGTCTTTCAACAGGGGGAAAAGGGGGAGGGAGTTCACATGGGAAACAAGAGAGAGCTTACGTGTTTTTGAACAGCGTTAAACCAAAACTGGGAAAATTATCAAACCCGCACGAATCCCCAATACCACTAAAAAACCACTTGAAGCAGCTCCAAACGAAACTTATGCTTAAATATTTTCCAAGACATTTGACTTGCTTCCTGTAACAAACCATAAATATTAGATTTATGTAGGTATGTATGTATGTTTGCGCATGGACATATACATAATCAAAAAGAAAGAAATCTGGTTTGTTAAAGATCAACACATTTCTCTCTAGTTATTTATAAATCAAAGCTTATAATTTATGTAGTTGTTTCATTGATGTTATAAATGCAAGATTGTTTTAATTAAAAAGACGTCTGTCCTTCATTATCTAATCTGATAAGTAAATTAGAGTATGATTTCCTTTCCACTAAGTTTCTGATTAAGCGCCAGATTAATGGAACTGTATGTGGATCTGTGAAAAGAAAATTAGTACAATGTATCTAATAAATACCCTGCAAGCTCAGCACCAGAGTGAGTATGAAAACTATTTATCAACATTGCTGTAGCCGTCCCACTTGGATATGTAAGCTTATAATCCAGTATCATTACCTGATAAAATATAAGGATAGATTAGAAGGTTAAATTAGAAAATTGAAATTACATACGGTGAGAAAACCTTCTAGTAGAGCACTCTCATTGGTAAAAGGATAGTCAGAACAATAAAAAAGAACATATTACATCTCAATAACCGAGGCTTTTTTTTATCAAAGCACAAAAAGTTAATTAAACAAGAAGGTTGAATATAAGCAATGCCAATATTAAAACCAAAATTACAGTCACAGACACTTTACTCGAACAAAACGTATATAGAGAACACCTTAAAAACCAAAAAGTGGAACTTTAACTGAAGTCTAAACTAACTCATAAAAGGCTAATATAATACTGATGACAAGAGCTATACAGCTATACCTTACGAAGAGGAGTAAGACTAAACAGCCCAAGAAAGCTGACAACAATGAGAAAACCAGTCATCCACCCTAACCCCGGGTTCTTAATATCTTCAGCTCGGTTTCCAGGGTAATCAGCACCAATAAGTTGATAAGTTCTCTCATCCATTGCAATCATATACGATCCGAACCCCCCTATCAAAGATAAGGTATTAAAGCAGAACAGGGGAGCTAGTGAGCTTAAAATACAATTTAATTACTTAATTTAACACTAACAACTAAGCCGACTCAATACATTAAAGTAAAATCAATAATATCAACTTCTTACAAGCTTAAAATTTTAACTTACTAATAAAGTTAATAATCATTTCTTAATCATTTACAGCTAAAACATCGTTTAGTCTCCTCATGCTTTAAACAAAACAGAAAAAAGCTAATCATTTCACCATAAAACGAATTATAATTACGAAACGAAATTTGCCAAAAATGGATAAAATTCGTATACAAAAGTGAAGACTTCTTAGCATTTTTTACCACTAAAAGCAAGGCCATAACAAGCGACGACGCAAGTTTGAATGACGGTGTTTTCTTGTTTGGTAAAAGGAGTGACCCGAAATCCCAACTTCGTCAAAAAACCAGTCCAGGATTTCACAAAGAAGAATCCGAGCAATCCGGCGCCGACATTCAACGACGGGATAATTCCGACGGTTAAATTCAGCTTGTGCGTGATGATACAAAAGAGCGTCCCTAACAAGGCGCTCACGACGAGCCCTCTCATCGTAATTTGGTCTTTCCATTCCGGGACGTGCTCCGACTCGATTCCGCCGCCGTAGATGCTTTCCTTGTCGATAATCAATGGCTCTGATATCTCGGTTCCCATGAATTTCGGATCTGGTCGGGTTTTGGAGAATTTTATGTTTGGAAGTGGGGATTATATTGGGAAAATAATTTTGTCTGTTTGGGGGATTGGATTAGGTTTTGGCATGGGCACAGAAATGAGTTGAAACGACCAATGATAACCGCTGGCGGTTGTTTGATCGAATGATGAAATGACACGCGGCTAAAATAAAATATTTTATTATAAAAAAACAGACATTCCTTTTATTTTTCTTCTATCAAATATTAAAAAATATTTGAAAAAATAAAAGTTATAACTATGAACGTAAATTAAACATATAACTAGAGCATTTTCTTATAATTATTGATACAAAAATTAATTATTCAAGATCTTATAATGATCAAAAATAAAATTAAAAACACATCTAAAAAAAACTTGAACTAAATATTAAGATCATAACCCGGGATCGGAAGGTTCGTTTAGGTTATATTTGTTGAGCTCATAATGCAATAGCGGATAGATTGAGGTCTTTGTCTCGGGGCTCACCGTTGCGAGAATTCTGTTTTACTGCTCCACCAGATCAGGTGCTGGAATTCCTTCATTTGGATCAGTAGCTTAGTGCTATAGAAGAAATTATGTAATTCTTTGTTTAGTTTAAGAAAAAAAAAACTCGAACTAAAGATATATACGAAGATCTTTAATTATATTAACAAAACGAATCACAAAAAAAAGATTGTTGAAAATTACCGACAATCATAAATCAGAGTTGAGTATTATAAAAAATTATCTACAAATTCAAAATCATTGATATAAATAATAAATTATTAATTTTGTCAAATAGTAAAATAATTCAAAGTATTGTTCAAAGGAGAGATTACTCGTAATTTTTATCAAGTCGGTTGGGCAGGCACTTCCAACGTATCTTATGGGCTGTTATCTTCTTCCTCAAGGATTATCGGATGATATTGTTTCTGCACTCCGGGACTATTGGTGGTCAGGTCGCACTTTTGACCGGGGTTGGCCATTGGTTGCTTGGTCCTCGCTATGTCGCCCGAATCGTGTTGGAGGTCGGGGGTTCCGTGATCTTCGTGCGATTAATGTGGCTCTCCTTGGTCGCCAACTTTGGCGTCTCCTTCATTCGCCCAACAGCCCGGTTAGTCGTGTTTTTGCTGCCAAATATTACCCCCGCGGTCATCTCCTTTCAGCAGAGTTAGGTCCCCGACCTTCGTATGCCTGTCGAAGCCTTCACCGTGCCGCTACTTCTTTGTCAGATGGTTTTTACTGGAGGATTGGTATCAACAGTACTGTCCGAATGCACATGGATAATTGAGGTGGCTCTACACCGGTGCACTTTTGTAACTCATATATTGATAACGTGGTGAATCCCATTCGTTGCGGTGAGTTCATGCTGGAAAATCTACCAACTTGGAATGTAAATCGTCTTCGTGCTGTCTTTTCCGAGCAAGATGTTAATACAATTCTCCTCTGTCCGATATATCCTTCTACAGATGATGTCTTGGACTCTTGGTTTGGAGTTCTCATTCCCGCTTGCCCACATTGCCAAAGATCCGGATGTTTGGTTGGCGGCTTGCTCATGAGGCTCTCCCAACTGGTCGTCGTTTGTCTCTAGCGGGGTTGTCCGATGGTCTTTGTCCTTTATGTGGTACGATTGAAGAAACCGTCCTCCATGCTCTGCGTGACTGCGATGAAGTTCAGTTCATTCTCAACTCTGCTGGTTTTTACTCCTCAAGTTACCCATGGACGACAGGTATCTTGTGGCGATTGGTTAATGGAGATAAGTGTTCATCTTTCACTGGAGAAATTTGTTTGTCAACTGGTTGGCACATTGTTGCTTCTGGGCGTGCTTTGCAGTCGTCTTTTATCCTTGTTTCTTCTTCCGATGATGCTTAGTCTACCAGTGCTGTTATCACTTCATGGTCCAAACCTCACCCTGGTGTTATCAAAATAAATGTGGACGGTTCGTTTGTTCCAACTTCTAGAGAGTCTGCTGTGGGTATTATTGCTCGCGATCACTTTGTGACAGTCCTCTCTGCCCACTGTTCCGGTTCCACAACACAGCAACCCAGCTATGGTTGAAGTTACAGCAAAAACACGTGGCATCCTTTTGGCTTTGCAGATAGGGTGTGATTCTGCAATTATCGAGAGTAATGCAAATAACATTGTTACTCAACTATATTCTGATGCTTTGGATCTTTCAAAGGTTCGTTTCCATTTAGAAGAAGCTCGTTCTCTACTTCACACTTATCATCACATCTCTGTGCAGCCCATTCGAAGATCGGCAAACAAGGCAGAGCATGTTTTAGCAACTTATGCACTTCCATTGCACTCTCCTGTTTTCTTTTACTTTGAATGCCCTTCTTTTCTTAACTCTGTTGTTATGGACGATGCTTTGTTTGGTTAATGGAATATTTCATGTTTCCCTATATAAAAAAAAGAGAGTTTGAACAAAAATATTAAAAGTTAAAAATTATTTTTATTCTGTATGTATTATAATCTTATTTAAAGTGCTGTATAAAATCATGCATCTCCTATTAAAAAAAACAAGCATCTCAGTACAATAAATGTAAATTTTAAAAATATTACTAATAATGTTCTAAAAATAGCTTTTCTCGTAATATTTAAAGTTCGAGTTCACCCCGACTTATTTATACTTCTATAATATTTTAGTGTATTTATTAAACATATCAAGTAGTTCTCAATAGTAAAAACGAAAATTGTTCTCTTTAGAGGTCCTAAGTTGCAAAAGATGTATCTACACAATTTGTGTGTGTTGTCAATTAGTTAAAATAGCACTGAACAGATTTTATCTTATAATAACTATTTTAAAAGAAATAATATTTTAGTGTTATTTGATTTTGTTATATTATGGAATATATATCATATAACTATTAATTATAGTTTAAGTTGTTTATATTTAAAATTTGAATATTTTTTCTTAAAATCTAACAAAATACGTTTAACTATTAAATATTTGATATAACATATATTCTAAATCTATATATTTTTGAAAAAAATCAAATAACAGATTTTTTAATTAAGCTAAAAACATTACAAAGTAATATTTGTTCTAAGTACTCTCAACCATTTGACAATAAACAATCAATCACTCTTGCAACTGTTGATGTTCGAGACTGTGACCTCTAAAAATATCAACGATTTGTCTTGTATATCATATAACCGGTTGACAGAATTAAGGTGTTATATTTATGGTCCGTCAATTTTGGGCTGCCATACCTTTCGGTAAGTAATATTATGGGTTAGATTGGGCTTTTACCAATCATAAGAAATTGGAATTTATAAATCATATAAAATTCTATTAATTACAAGATGTTACGTTTTAGTTATTTATCTTGTTCTTTAATTATGTGGTCAATAGATTTGTTGATAATATAAAGAAATATTATATATTAATCAAATATTGGGTTTTTAAGTATTTAATTTATTCTTATTAGACGATGATAAGATCTATATGTATATCTTTATTGTCGTATTATGATGTTCATATTTAACTATGTTAATTGTGTCCAAAACATGTAATGAGAGCATATTTCTTTTGAACACGGTCACTTTATCATATTATTTTTTAGATATCTTAAATAACATGAAAATTTAATTATTGTTAGTTGTTTTTTTATAGTTTATCATTAATAAATTAATTTATATTCTTCACTGAATTTTAAAAAGCCGTTATATTCTCTTCATAATTTTAACTTTTATTTTCCACTTATAAGTAGAATGATATGATCACTTTCTAATTTACCTAAAATATTATTTTAGTTTGTCTTTTTCTATATTCTTATCATCGATTTTTTCACGTAAATATATTTTTTTCCTGAAAAAAATTAATACCATTTAAGTTTCATCTTTTATATTTAAGAGTGTGAACATAAAAGTATTACATTAATCTTTGAACATTTCAATTTCATCCTTGAATTATGATCCTCATTATAAATTAGTCCTTCAACTTTTAAACATTTCAATTTCATCCTTGAATTATGATTGTCATTCTAAATTTGTCCTCAAACTTTTGGACATTTCAATTCCATCCTCAAACAACGAAATTCATTCTAAATTAGTCCCCAAACTTTTTGAACATTTCAATTTCTTCCCAAACTATATGTATATACTAATCACATCCTTTGTTAATAAAATTGTTAGTCCAAGTTATATCATTATATGTTTTAAAAAATAAAGTTTAGGTTAAACTATGGTTGAAACTAATTACATATTTGGATGAATTTAGGGATGAAATTAGAGGTTCATAAGTTTGGGAATTAATTTAAAATGAAGGTCATAGTTTGGGGATGAAATTGGAATGCTCAAAAGTTTAAGGACTAATTTAGAATGAGAGTCGTAGTTTGGGGATGAAATTGAAATATTATAAAATTTCAAGAGCAATATAAAACAAAGGTCATAGTTTGTGGACATCTGATATAATTAACTCTTTTATTTTTGAAAGAAAAATAAAAAAAAATGTATTTGACAGGCACGTGACAATCAACACGTGATGTTCCTTACTTTTATGGTATTAATGTAACCCATTTGGATTTATTCGAGAGTTTAAATTAACGATTTATTCAATATTGAAAATTTTACAATGTTTACTACATAACAAAAATATAAAAGAGATATTAAAATTATCTAATATAATAACAATCTTGTAATTTCAATGAAGATTTTTTTTTTAAATTATTAATTTTAAATTTAAAAAAATAAAAATTATCTCTTTTACTTGAAAACACCCATAAAATCTCTTTTATTTGCTTCAAGATATATTTGCACTACAATTAAAGACTTTCATTTTGCAATAATAATATACGATTCTCGAACTATAACACGATTTTAAAGGCACTTGATATTTTTCACAGATTAGGAGTTCCCATAAAATTTAAGTAATTTTTAAGACTTTAATTCCGTTTAAAATATTAATCCTAAACCCTAGATTGAGACAAAGTGGAAAGAGAGAAAAATATTGAAAGGGGAGGAGAGGAGAGCACAATAATTTTTTTTTTTACCTTTCATTAGTATTAAAATATATTATTTTTTTATATTTGTATTTGAAAAATCATCATGAATTTAAAAATACGACACATGCAAATTTTAATTGGATAACAATTTTTAACGATGGTATAATGTAGACACTTAAAATAGAAACGGAGAAAACGTTAAATATTTATTTTGAGCGAGTTTTTTTTAAACACTTAAAGTCAATTAAGAGCATAGCTTGAGCACTTATTTTTTTTTATTTTTTATTAATTATATTTGAATTGAAATATTCTTTTGACTAATAAATATTAATTCACTTTAGGGACGGCTCCTAAATATAAAAGGGGTTGTGCGAAGGCTCGTCCAAGCAAGTAGACCCTTGGACAAGACTAATAAAGCACAGGATCTAGCTAAAGGAAAACAGACTTCTCTTTAGCTATCCATTATTAATCCATAAGTATAAAAGTAATTAAAAGGAGATCAACGTAAAAAGAAGAAGCATAAATATAATATAATTTATACAGTTCGACCTTGTTTATTTTTCGAGTGAGAAAAAAAATCACTATAAACACATAGAAAATAAAGAGTTCAAATACATAAAATTATATAAATCTATAAAATTCGGCGTATTATCAAAATTCTCACAATACCCAATAAAACCTCATCTCTAAAAGAAAGATGTCGAAAAATATTATATCTCTTAATAAATTTCATCTTCCGTAATTTTAAAGGTTAAGATCTACCCTATATTAATAGAATTAAACAAATGTGAGATGCAAATGCAATGGTAAGAGGCATTACATTCTGAAAGAGAGATCAAATCGTAAATCTTGAAAACAACATTATTAGAATAAACTATCATAAATTTCAATCGTAGATCGTAAAACTGATATCAAAGATATTGATATTATAGTTTTATATCAAGTACACATGTACAAATGATTCCATTCTCGTAATGGGCAAACAGTAAAAAGTTCAAAAAGCACCATGTGGGATTCACATGTTCAACATCAAATCTGGGTTTGATTCAGGCAACACAATGTCATGTGTAGTGCATTCTTTGCTATTGTCCTGGAATTAGAATGCAATAATGGGGGGCAATCCATTCTCACTTTCTTCCAAAAATGGCAATTACACATGTATCTACTTTGTTTTTTTCTCTTTTAACTTCACTCATGTTCTTAGCAATTATATTTCTTCCAATTAAACAGTCTTTGATGTAAATTACTATGCAAATGAATTATTACAATCATGATCAACTAGACAAACTGTTGGTTATGTTATTCGGGCCGGGATACGAGTACTAAATATGAACACGCCCAACATAAGTATACTCATATTTCAGGTTATTTTCATATATTTGAAAGATCGTATTCTCGCACTCGTATTCCCTAACATGTATCGTATATAAGTATCATACACGAATACTTAAAAGAATATTAAAAGCCAGGGTAACATGGACTATGGGAATACTGCAGATTTTGACATAACTAGCTATTTGAGCAACACGTCTGTGCTTAAAATATCATTTCCGAAGACACTTTATCAACGATGTTAGCTGTCATCAAACATACATGTGATGTAAGTAAATCACCCCTGCACTTTTACTGTTAGGGAATAACAGAATATAATTATTCAACACAATGGACCATGACAAAGACGCACTCACATCCAAATTTGGGGGGGCTAAGGTTTCATGTTTAAGGCATTTTGGGGTGGCTCGTCTCAATGCGAATGAGATCTTCCTCTTCGGCTCACTCTAACATCTCAGAATCTTAGAAGCTTTTGGGGTATACCGATGTACCAGAGTCGACGACCCTAAGTAGCAACTTTCTTAATCCAAGAATATACATGCAAAAACAAGAAAGCGTCTCAGTAGCAATCTTACGCTGCAATAAGGAATTCATTATCATGCCTTCATCAAGTGCAAATTCAATTATCGGAATCACCAACCATAGGTATAAAAAACGACTACGAAGACATTATTGCATGGTGAAGTCGAGGTTTTTCAATTTATGGAAGCTGCAATATTTAGAGATTTATTAACACGATCATTCACAGCGAGACAGAGAAATACAGATTATAAAGTGAAATTTGCCTATGTCCTACATCCCATATGAGATGTACAGATGTATTAACATGATCGTTCATAATAAGAAAAGCATAGAAATACAAAGTATACAGAGATAATTGCCTCTGCTATGTCCCATATGAGATGTAGATGTTCCCGTTTTAATCAGGTCTAAAACTAAAACGAATTAAGGAACATGGTATTAAATAAATTTCATTAACAAAAATTTAAGCAAATGCATGATTATGGTTTATCACCTGCCAACAGTTCAGCAATGTTGCAGATTTCACCAAGCTTCAACTGAAAGCACCTCTGATTATGAAGCCAATAATTGCAGTTCCTAACATATAAGATTGTTTGAGATATTTTAGCTGGAAAAAGACCATATTGACATCAGTACGATAGATGGGGACCTATTCGAGGTAGATACCTGTAAGTATATCCCACCAAAAAGTTTCAGTCCTCGTAATGGTGGCAGCATCCTATAACAAAGTACACGTCCTAAAGTAATCATACGTGTAGACTGGAGTGAACGTGCATACGCAAATGAATATGTTTGCATGCTTCTCAATAAACAATACATCACCATCTGATATAGGATATAGCCATGATAAACTCATCAACGTCAAGAATCAATAATAGTTGATAATCAATAGCTATCCGATCTTGCATACGTTCAAATAGCCACGAACCTACAACAATGCATTTAATGCAGGATAGAGATGACACTCATGGAGTCGAGTGTCTATGAATCACTCAGTTTTCAATTTGATTTGATATTGATATAGTGCAGCCAACCAAAATCTGTATTTTTCTACTTGTTTCTCTCCACTCAATACCCATCTCACACCCTTCTAGCAATCACTAGCTCATTAATTGTTACAGGTAATGATGCAGAGATCCGAGATGTTTCTCTATTTATTCATCGAAAATAACTATATCTACACAGAATTCCTATGAAAACCAAAACAATCTGACATCAATCAAGCTCTTCAAAGCAAGAACAAAATGAAGGTAACTCTCCAATTTATTAGATTTTTACAGTTGTTATTGCAGAACCTCATACTGTTGTTATTGCAGTTACTAGGATGGATGCAGCATAAGTTACGACAAAATAATATTGAGCCTTTCAAGGATTTCACAACTGGTATTCCAACTTCTTTCATTCACAAAACAATCCCCAAGACATGAAAATCATCATTAGATTGAATCGGCACGGCTGAGTACTATAATCTGCACACTTGCTCAGCATGAACTAAAGCATTAGTCATTAGATTCCCTTGAAGTTAACCCAGGCTAGTTATAGTTTAAAACATATATATTATAGACCTAAAGCAGAGGCTAAAATATACTATAGTCAAAACTAGGTGGTCACAGCCGTATGGCTGAGATTCAGAACTCAGAATCATTCTGCCTTAATATTTTTCTAATGCAGTAGCCACCAATATTCATGGTATCAGGGCTATCTTATCTCTACTCATCGTAAGAGGGTTAAACTAAGTCAATCAGTATAAGTGCTTAAAATGAATATTTATGTTCAGCTTAAGCGCAACATGAATTCATTTTTTTGCAACTGCGTCTGATGTCATATTCCTTAAACTCTACTTCAGGGAACTACTGCTCCTGTCTTTCAGCTTATTCATCCCTCAATGATGAAGACTCCCATCTGAAATCAACTTCCACATACGGACATGGAGCAAGATACTCAACTCACCCCAAAGAGGAAAATGAAAAGTTCACAGAATTCGAAGCCGAGGGAGTAGAAGGCAACTTTGGAGACAAAACATCCACCGTCATCCCCAGGCTATTTCATGGCTTTCTCACCATTGGAACTCTTCAATCTGATCTGACTATCAGTGAGCCTATAACACCAACATTCACCATGTCTCTGGAAAATATTACTGAGGGAAAAACAGAGGGGACAGAAAATGATTTGAAGGTCATCAATGATGAACTGGAGAAGTTCCTTGAGGCTGAGGCTGAGGCTGAAGCTGAAGGACATGGGTCCATTGAATCATCACGAAGGAGCAGTCTGGCTAGCACAATTACACTTAGCAGTAAGCCAATGCAAGAAGTCAATGTTGAAGAATATGAGAATGCAATCATATGTCCATTTCGAGGATATCTGCTTGGATCTTCAATTGAACGTCCAGAATTTGAGGTAAAGAAAGAAAAGCAATCACTTGCAGAACTGTTCTACTGTGCAAAAACAGCAGAAGAGAGTCCTAAGGAAAAATGTGGGAAAGAGGAAATGCAGACCAAGCAAACAAGTAAAACTCTTAAATGTCTCATCAAGAAGATTCTGAAAAAGTTTCATGCTTCTTCTGGGAGTTCTATCTCTTCCACCAAAGAGACTAATTCTGTTCCAACCAAGAAAAAACTCCAAAAGGTGAGTCTTCTCTCCTGGTCCTAGATTCTCGAATAATTTATAAGCATTTAAAGGAATAAGGACCTCAAGAATGCAAAATCCGACGGTGGTATCCACCTTCTGAAAACACATTTTGTGGCAACACCATGATTCTCAAGCCTTAAAACCATTCGCTGGACAAGGAGTCAACCACTGACAAGTCAGATTATTTGAGTCCTAGGGTCTAGAAGTCAACAACATGACCTTTTGTTATAATAAAGTAATAATGAAATCATGCCCAGGATATGTCAGATACAGGTATATGTATCTGATTCAGATATCCCAAATTATTTCATATATTATGAGAATTAGAAATCATGCCCAGGATATGTGATGGATATGGTGTTAAACATGGGACAAAGAAAATGAAGAGGTTGGAGCAACATAAGACAAGTCTAATTCTCCATTTATTTTTATACCCTAGACAACAGTAGATCTAAACTTTTTTAAGGAAATTAAGATTTTTGCAAAAACAAGTTCAAAGATAGTCCATCAGATTAATTATTCCAATGAAAGGGATACAGAGTAATACAGCATGAATTTTAATTTCAGTGTGGCATGCAGGTCATTAAACTGTTCCACAGAAAAATCTATCCTGAAAGCTCTATAGCTGAAAGAGAGTTAACACAATTGGATAGGAATAAGATGAAAAATCCTCCTTACAATGATGGAAACTATACTAATGGAGAGCAGATGCACCAAGATAAAGTGAAGAACTGGTTTTCTCAGAGATCAATGTCCGAGGTAGGAATACACAGTTACAAGTCCATCTCAGTAGTGCCCCAGCCTCAATATAGGGTTACTGGCTCTACGGCTGCAAGTTCAAATGGGGAGCACTGGATCAAAACAGATGCAGACTGTAAGTATCATGCACCCCCTGAAAATGATATAAACTCTTCTTGCAATTTACAACTATTTTTGGCATTCATTTAGTTGCCATTGTTTAAGTGGTTGATTCCAAAGTACAAACCAGGAAAATGTTTAAGCCAAAAAAAAATCAATAATGATGTTGAAAGGGAAAATGGTTCAATGAATAATCATCAGAATGCTGCACAACCACAGGTCAAGGATTTTTCTCAAAAAAGTACACACACACACATATATATATATAAATAACTAATATTTTAATACACCATTAGAATCAACATTCATAATTAACCAATAAATAGACAATTTTTTTACATAATTAGAAATATATTCCTAAACCCATATATCATTGTGATGTTAATATATAGACAGTAGCGATATAGACTGTATTGAGCTTTGCAATCAAGTAGTTGTGTAACTAGTTTTTTCTAACATATGTCTGTCCATCTTCTGCCGCTGCTATTTTAGACTTGGTGTTGGAGCTGTAATGAAGGAATGGCAACAAATGCTCACTAATAGCTTTCAGTCAATCTTGTGGCTTTACAATATCAGCTCCGTCGTAATGTGTTTGAGTGTGTTAACAGTCTCAATAAAAGGAGAAATATGTCTCATCCCTCTGGGTGTCATAATAAAATTATGCACTTAGTTTTTTGTATTCTTCTGAAGATGTGTTTATGGTCACTTTTTAAGTCTTGTCTGAATTCTTTCGTGGGAAAATTCTGGTCCGCAAGTAATGCAACTCAAGGAATTGCATCATTGAGATACATCAATACCTGAATCTACTCTGAAAACTTGAAGAAAAAGAGAGATTATAAGACCTCAAAGAAAGAAACGTCAATAAACCAGGCAATGTTCTATACTAAACCACTAGCTGCTCTTCCCTCAGAACTCCACCCATTTCCATCCTCCAAGATCGATCAACTAAATCTTCTAACTCCCTGAAAATAAACCAAAAAGCTCCATGAGCTGAAAGTATGAACACATGCTATCAAAAGAGAATCATAAACAACAAAATTTGATTGATTGCATCTTGGATCTCATCACTAAGATCATAAAAGGGGTTCAGGTACAATATATGTCAGCTTGGTTTGGTTAAGTTATACAAGTCATTTATTTATAAAAGACCTGTTAAAGGACAGCATTGAAATTGAATGAATCGATTAAGGTTGATGCAGTTCTTTTTTTACCCAATTATGACAACATAAGCTATATAGCATTCCAATGGAAATAAACTAGAATGGTAAATCAGAAGCTAAGGCTTACTTGAGATCATGACTGACAACAAGTATAGTTAATTCTTTCTTCAGATGCTTCAAAGGTTTCACAACATCTGCACGTGCCTTCCAATCTGATTTTGCAGAAGCAAAAGCAATGATAAAATTTAGAAGGTAGAAAAATCAGAAAATGAACTATTTATAGGTCATGTCAAAGTTAAATCAATTAGCAAAATTGTTGGTGCTTCTGAAATTACTTCATAAGTCATGCTCTATCCAGGAACTGTAGTTTCTAAACTATATCATGAACAGAAGATAACAGAAATGTAGGGGAAAAACAGAATAGAAAAAAGCAATGTCATACCGAGACCAGCAAGAGGCTCATCCAATATTAACAAATCAGGGACTTGTGCCTTCAGCCATCAGATAATGAAAAAGAACACAGAAAAAAAAAATCAGTGACTAGAAAACATGTTATGATATAAATAATCACACATGAATTGATATAGTAAATGTCTTTGTTTAAAAATTGCACCGCACGTCGTAAATTACTCTTTTAGGTCCTTACTAATTGAATTGCAAGAGCAAGTCTGCGTTTGTAACCACCACTCAATGAGTGAGGATCTTTATCCAAGGAGATACCATTCAACCCAACCTGACGTAATTTAAAGAATCCATCTTAGATTAGGCGAAGATGGACACTTTAAGAACAAATACCCACTAAATGTAGATAGGTGAGAGGGAAAGTTCAATGACCAAAAGTATATTAAAAAAAATTATATGAGCATCAATCCAACCTAACATCATTTAAAGAATTCGTCTTAGATTTGAAAAAAATGAAGCCTTTAAGAAGAAATACTCACTAAAAGCCATAAATAGGTGAGAAGAAAAGTTTAATGACCCCAGAAAGATTAAAAAAAAAGGATACGAGCATGCATACCCAATTAAAGGCTCTTTGGAGATTTAGTGCAAGATGCTCCTTCAATTGAGGTCCACCCCTTTGCCTTGGCCAGCCAAATGTAACTTCATCAAGTACATTGTCCGCTACAAAATACCTAGCCAGCAACATACCATATAACATTTTTCAGAATATAGAAGAACATGAACTAAGATACAGATCAACTTAAGAAGACAATAATAAGAAGATGAGTGAAATTACTAATTGGTATTAAACCAGTAAAGCATTACCCAAATAAATATTCATGTTGCGTGATCGGCATCAAATATTTGTTAATAACAGAAGCAAGAGTTTCCATCAACAAGTACATAACCAGAAAAAAAAACATATATGTAAATAAGACAACTCTGAAAGATTGCAAAAACATGCCTACTTCAGAAAACTCAAAAATCCAGCAAACATGCAAAAGAAGCCTCATGAAGAAAATATTAAAAGCACTCAGCAATCAAGAGATTCAAAACCCTAGCAAACAAACAAAGACAAACAGTATTTTTCAGTTGATATGAGGTACCTCTCTGGGAACTGGAAGACAATACCAACTCTTTCTGGAACTAAAGATTTTGGAGACTGATTTGGTTTGCCTTCATCTGTATATCTCTGAATATAAATAGAACCTGACGTTGGTTTGCTCAACCCTGCAAGTAGCTGAAAGGAGAAACAAAAGTAAGAAGACAAACAAGGTATATAAAGTGAATGATAAAAAACACTCATAAACATATATGGCAGACCTGCAAGAGGGTAGTTTTTCCACTTCCACTCTGTCCAAAAATTAAGCCAAAGCTGCAGTAATTCACACAAACCATTTACTACCAAACAAAAGATCAGCTTTGAACAATGCATTCTATGATACAACTTTAGATCTGGTTCAACAGAGTAGATGGTGGACAGGATATTTCAATGTCTTATGACCATTCTCTTTGTCTTTTTTAAGATATTAATCTGATCAGCTGCTAATCACCTAGTGTTCCTAACAGTATTCCGTATGCAACATTAATTTTAAAATATTATTTTTCTATTATTTACAAGCATTTACCTTTTCTCTGGAAGCGAAAAGCTAACTCCATTCAATAGGTTAATCTGTGTCCCTGGAGGTCGATAATAAACATCCTTAATCTTGAAATGAGAAGTGTTATACCAATGTCAGTACCCGGAAGAGCATCAACCAAGAAGATTACATGGTTTCAGCAAAGTCCAACTTCATTATTAACATTAATCAAAACAATAAAAAAAAACCATCCACTCGTTAAATAAAACAGATAAAAAATAGATTTTTTACGACATAAAAAGTGAAAAAAAAATAAACCAAAGAGAAACAGTTAATTCCTTAGAATCATAAAAATATTTTAAATTATTGAGAATTTAAATTCAAATAAAAAGAAGAAAAAAACTTACTTCCAAGCAAGAGTAACCACATGAGATTTTAATCAGTGGAGTTCTTTTGAAGTTCAACCTGCAAAAAAAGGTAATTTGAACAATTTCCTTTATTCATAATGATTAGTGACATAATTCTGGTTAAGAGGCTTACATGGAAGACGGTTTCGAGGAGATTAAGGCTAATGGTTCGCTAATTCTCGAACCGAACAAAGATGAAGCTGAGAAAGCAAAAACCTCCATTCTGGGATCGAAATTAGGGTAATATTCAATATTAAGAATACGGAAGTGAAGAGAGGTGAATGGACTGGTGACTACGCGGTGGAAGAGTGGAGGAACGTGGTGGTCGACGGCGGTGCAGCGGGAGTTTGGCGGGACTGAAAGTGGATGAGCCTTTTATTTATTTATGATGGATTTAGGATTCAATTTAATGGGCCAAAAAACCCATTGGGTCACTACAGAAAACCCAGAAACCTTTTTTTGGCAAAACTAAAATCAAATGAAAAAAATGGCATTTTTTATGCATCATTATATTATAATTTCAAAGAAAATATTAGTAAACCCCCCCTACAATTTTACTTCTTATTCCAATAAATTTATTTACCTTTAATTCCATATATTGTAAAACCAAATTTTCCTTTAAAATTCTTGTCATTTAGTAATAAATTTTAAATATGATGAAATTATTTTTTAAATATTCATATTGAATACATTATCCAACATATTTAAATTCATTTCATGCATTGATCGCCGTTCTTCGATTTGCTATTGACTGAGGATGAAGTGCGTTGAAACGGATTCTGTTTTGGTGGTCAATGAGGTGGGTCGTTGTGATGAGGATCTATCGGTTCTTGGCTTCCACAATCATGAGATCCGTCGTTTATTTGATTCGTTCGAGATCTACAGTGTTTTCCTTGTCCTAAGGGTGGCTAATGGTATGACTCATGTGCTTGTACATTGGGCTCTTTATTCAATAGAACGATTTACTCTTCTTCTTCTTTTAATGAAAAGAAAAGAAATCATTAAGAGGTGAACAACGCCATCAACTCAAATAATTGGAGCATCATCGTAAAAAAGCATGACTGATTTTGGGGGGCTGATCATGAAAGAAGTGGATGTCAAAAGAACGTTTCCAAGCCAATTTCGCCATAACGTCAACTACTCGATTGCATTCTCTAGGGACGTGAACCAATTGAACCGTCCAATCTCGTTTGATGAGATCAACTATATGTGGCTCCATTGGAGCATATCCAGCTTCAATCGAACCTTTATTAATAGCCAAAAGAGTCTCTTTACTATCTGTTTCTACAATGACTTGCTGCAAGCGAAGATCTCAAGCCAAGTTTAAACCTTCGAATATTCCTCATAACTCAGCATCTAGAACCGAACAGTACCCGATGGATTTAGTAAACCCCGAAAGCCATGCACCCTCATGATCGCGAACAACTCCTCCGCATGTCGGCAAACCTGTATCCACTCGGTGACTTCCGTCCCTATTCATTTTCAGCCAATCACGAGGTGGAGTAGCCCATGATTTATTCCGCTGTACATGAGCATTGCAGAATCCCTTAAGTGCATCTCTCAAGGCCAGCGCATGAACTGCCTCAAAAGTGGGTCTTGTACTCTGCTGCAACACTAACTCTTCTGCTCTATATGAGCTGTTAAATAGTAGATTATTTCGTCGTGTCCATGGTCCCCAAACAATGGAACCAAAAGCTATATCCCAATTACCAGATTCTTTTGGGAAATAACGTGGATTACAAATATTCTTCTCAATCCAATCTAATAAATCCATGCTAATGAACTCACCATAAAACTCGCGTTTCACCACTGCTTTCCAAGTGTTTTGGGCAGTCACGTAGAATATGTGAACACGACTCAACCACCGCTCCACAAATGGTTCAACTCGGATCATTTGCCATGTGCCGTCTGACTCGTTCTTTGTTTGATAAAACACGTCCTTTGCGGAAGAGCCACAGGAGATTCCGATCTCTTGGAAATCCTCTATATTTAGTTAAATTTTTCCAAATCTAAGTCACCACGTTATCAACATTATTAGCCCGTCTCACATAAGCGCTTTTGGTAGTGAAACGACGATGTGAATCCCACTTCCAACCTGGAAAATCCCGACCACCATTCAACAATGGAGGGCGGGTAGCAGCAATAGACAAAAGGATGTGTGCTGGGAGTTCATTTCTCAACAATTCCCAGTTCCACTCACCAGAAGGCGAGAACATATCAGTGATTTTTGTGAAAACTTTAAAATGTTCCTCTTGAGCATTACGATACAAAGAGAGTGGTCCGAGGTTGCCAATATTCCAAATAACCCCGTCACAAACTTCACTCCAAATCACAAACTTCACCATTGTCCCGAGGTTAATCATTTTGTTGTTTCTTTTGATGTATTAACTTCGATGTCTTAATGAATTGTTTTATCTCATTTAAAAACAAAAAAAATAAAACATATATTAACCGATTAAATATAATTTCAGTTGATATCAAATAAATTCAATTGATATTGTCATCCCTAATTATATCTGATGCAAATACTAACAAAAAAAATTAATATCAAATCGCTCGTTATTTCGTCTACAATTTAATCACCAAATTTGATTATATTTTTATGTTCTGTATCCCTAATTATTTGTTAGTATTTGCATCAGATATAATTAGGGATGACAATATCAATTGAATTTGTCATCCCTAATTATATTTGCTTATCCAAAAAAATTGATTATATTTTTATGTTCTGTATCCCTATGCTTACCTCCAAACCAAAGATAGGGTTGCGACTTTTCATCCTCCATTCAAATTTGTGAATCTCACTGCATACATAATTATTTTTCAGTCATCATCTGAAGGTAAAATTGGGGAAATGTTGGGGGTTAGGTAAATACAGCTGGTGGGAAATTATTTATAGATCTATGACATTTGTTATAGTGAAATAGTGGATTAGAAATTCGTCATGCAGATTTACGAATTCCATAAAATATTTTTTTTAATGAAACTGATTATATCAATGTGATAAGTAAGTTCATGATCATTGTAGCAAATATTGTAGACTACGAAATAATTTATCACCAACCACATATCCCAAAATAATTTTTATGTAAGGATTATTCTACTAAATTTGCCTCAGTTGTTTCCTTGAGTAATATTGGCGTTATACAAATACGAATTAATTGTATGGTATGTCTTAAAATTATGACTTAAATTTTAAATTAGTCTCTAAATATAAAAAATTAATTGAAATTTTAAATTAACAATATTATTTCAATCATGTTCTTTCGTGGATTTTACTTTTTAAATGTTAATTTAGACTTGACACATAACATCATTAGATTATCACCGCAATATGTATAAATATAAGAAAAATACTTTATACACAGGTTGTGTAAAATTTAATTTACACAACTCTACCTATTTTAATGTATTATATTATTTAAGGATTAATGTTTAGAGTTTTAAGATTATGGTTTAGATTTAAAGGTCAGGGTTTAGAATGGATTTTTAGGGTTTGATATTAATATAATCAAGATTGTATAAATCAAATTATATACAATTTGTGCATTAAATAATTATTTATCTTAAATATATTTTACAATTGATATCAATACCCAAATATATGAATAATTTTAGAATTGGGCATAAGTTAGGCATGCGTGGTTCAATTCACCGTGGAATCTATATATTGTTTCAAGGGTAAACTATATGTTTAGTACCCTAACTATCATTTTTATTTTGTTTTAGTCATTTTATTTTTTAAATCATATCTAACATTTAATTTTGATTTTATTTTGGTCACCGGCCGTTAAAAAATTAACGGTGGTAATGACGTGTCATCATATGGTAACACCGTGTCATCATTGAGAAAAATATATGACTTCAACAATTCTATTCAATTTTTAACGTCGGGTGACCAAAATAAAACCAAAATATATGATTTAAAAAAATCATCAGTAACCAAAATGAAACAAAAGAAATTAAACAAAAGTGGAAATTAGGGTATTAAACGTGTAGTTTACCCTTGTTTCAAATACCCAATGATCCATTACTTTACAAGGTTTTTCCTTAGTGTTGCCCCTTATGTTTGACTTAATGAATAAAACGAGGCCAAATGTAGCAAGACTGTTAATTTGATGGGAACAACCCCCAATATTATTCAAGATATAAATGATTAATTGTTAGTGCAATTACTATTGTGCCGTCAATCGAGTTTCATTCTACTTTTTTTTTCTCTCTTGGCAATCTATATATAGATGGTATTTTTAATTATCGGTATTTAATTTAATAATTAATTAATTTGAATAAGATATTATAAATAATTATTATAAAAGTCATTTTTAAAATTTAGTTTATTTTATTTATAACATTTAAAAAATTTAAAATAATTTGAGATGATTATAAGTTAGTAGATGCTCAAAATCTTTTTAAACCATATACATCCTATAGATATAATTGTTCGAATTTAAATTCTCTAAAAATAATATTCTTTTATCACTAAAAACATTTAAATTTTAAGAATATAATATTTTATCTTATTAAATTAATTGATAATCGATAATTAATATATAATTTTAATATCCATTGCATATAGATTCTATTTTTGCTAAACCACCGCACGCAGTCCAAGTTATCAGGTTCAAAAGCTTAGGCTACCACTTGTTTTTACTGGACAATAGATTAGCTAGAAAGTTCATCAATATCTCTCCATTTTATATATATAAAAAGAAATCTTTACACCTTTCTAGATGAACTATTAATCATTCAAAAATGGCAGCTGCTTCGTGGAATTAAAGACCGATACAAACGGCAATGAAAAATGAATTATGGATTATGGATTTTATTTTGTTACTTTATATTGTCGTATGTTAAAAACAACAGTTACTATATATATTACATTTGAATTTTAATATTATTATATCAATAATTTATTGATTTAGTGAGATAAGACGTTAAATTTCTTAAGTAAGATTAAAAGTTTGAATTCTAATGTTTGTAAATTTAACAAAATAGATTGAGAGAGTCACTCTCATCTCTGCAATATCGGATCTGGATTAGTCAATTAATAAATCAAATTTTAATGGTTATACCAAAAAAATAATATCAATATCATCCCTCTTTATTTTCATAGTATGTTATTTTTTATATTAAAAAAGGAATAATTATCTCTTTTTTAACACAAATTTTCTCTTAATATTTTTATACCGCTTCCTTCATTCCATTTAATTTTTATTTAGTCGAAAATGAAATTAATTTTAATGTTGGTTGTCAACAATCGGTGACTATATGTTGTTTTATTTTTATGCTATCTCTTTTATTTTCCTTTCTTTCTTGACTTTTATTTTTCAATTTTGAATAAAAATCTCTATTCTCGTGACACACTTTTCTC